GGATCCTATGTCAAAAACCAAGTAAAACCCTACTTCCATAAAGGAAACCACGTGGTTTACCATGTAAATCCCCACGTAGGAAACCACATGGAATCCTACGTGGTATTCCACATGGTTTCCTTAGTAATGATAAAGATTACTGTCGCTCCTATACTTTCACCGCTAGGTGGCGAAAGTGACTTCTCTCGCTGTTGAGACGATTCTGGAAGTATATAAAAGCTGAGAACCTGTAGCAGAGAGGACGTGTTTCAAATGATCGTTTTTTTTACTTTTTTGATGACTTGTAACACTAATACTATTTATTATTTAATTTTTTATTAAATAATTTTTAATCCTTTGAAAATTTCTTCATTGGATCTTTAATAAAATACTATGTGATGTCTCATTAAATCCTAGGTGAAATCTTGCATGAAATCCTATGTCAATTTCCATATAAAATCCTATGTGAAATCCCTTGTAAAATTCATAAAAAATTTAATTTTTTAATAAAATACTATGTGATGTCTCATTAAATCCTAGGTGAAATCTTGCATGAAATCCTATGTCAATTCCCATATAAAATCCTATGTGAAATCCCTTGTAAAATTCCAAGTGGATTCCCATGTAGGGATATTCAATAAGGCGGATAATGTTTTTCACATGGGATTTGGTTTAGGATTTGACATGGGAAAATAATTATAAATAAATGATACTGTTTTTCACATGGGATTCGGTTTAGGATTTGACTGGGAAAAACATGTAGGATTTGATATGGTTTTATGCATAGATGAACTATTCAAATTCCCCATGTCTATTCCTAACTAAAATCCTGTCTCAATTTCCCATATGGTTTGACATTGGAAACCACATGGTAAACCACGTGGTTTCCTTCATGGAAGTAGGGTTTCACATGGTTTTTGACATAGGATCCCATGTGGTTTCCCATATGGGGATTTTCAATAGGGTATACTAATTCCCCAGTACAATTTCAGTTCATTCTTCCGGCAGGGATAGCCTTAACATAGTTAAACGATTTATAAATATGATATACGACAACGTTGCAATATAAAATCTTTTAAAACTAAAATACTGATTGAAAGGCTCCAATAATATGAAAATGACCGATTCATAAACCAAGATTCTGTAAAACTGAATAAATTAAATATGTCAGTTTTATTTTGGCAAGTTTGAGTAGACGTGAACTCTTACATTGAATTATTTAATTCTTGTACACATCGCTGTGTGGCAAATATTTAATACAGCAGCCCTCTTTATTTTACCGCTTGACTCGCATGGAGAATGCCATTAACTGCAGGAGTAATCATTCTGTTCCTCTTCTTTGTTTTTATCTTGTAAACTCTCGGCTTCTAGTGGCAATCGTCTCCACTCCTCGTCAGCATTTTGTATTTTATTTTCATCTATACGCCTAGGCAGAAGAGACGCCAAAGGAAAAATACTAGGAGTGTGTTCAACCCTTAATTTTTAATTTTTAATGATTAAATAAGGGTGGCTGATTGATTTGAAGAAATAACTACAAATTCACTTTAGTTTGTTTTTTACTTTATTGTATAATTGTCACTAGTTAAAAATGTTTAAGCACTTCACTTAATATAACAATTTAATTTATCTTCTCTTTTTTTGGACACAATTTTGCTTTGAAATAAATGCTACAAAATTTTCTCTTAATTTAATTTTATATATAAAGTAAATATACGTGTTATTCGTTTGCTTTCCAGTCAGGAACTGAGTCATACATATTTCTTATTTCTATAGTGACTTTCATGTCCCTTCTTCCTTTTCCTTATAATTTAATCTTTATTTTGATTTTCTATTTCTCGCGATGCGACAGTCTGTTCTCTCTCTGTGGGAAAGAGCAACTTTTGGGCTCAGAAGATGCATCTTAGATAGAACCGGATCTCTGAAGTCATATCTACAATTATAAAATTAGAGACAATTTTTTTGCATTACATTACACGATTAATAAAATTATACACACCTTTCTTTAAGATCCTTACAAAACGTAACAAGAAAAGGTCGACATCTATCTCGAAAAAAGTGGATTAAGGTTTCTCTCGACATTCTCGTTTAGAGAGCTGAGAAATTACATCAATGCCTAAATAAACATTTTGAATGTCTATGTATTTCGAATCATCATCTGGACGAATTCGATCAAGTGGGGCACTCAAAATGTAGTCGCGAGCTATGTATGTAAGAAGAAATTCTTTGTACGCTGTCACCATTCTCTCATGTACAACAGTCAACACAGTTTTTTCGGATTGGAAATACTCATTCAATCCTAAAATCTTTGGTAGTGCCCAGTTCATAAAGTAATAGTAGGCTTTAACAAATGGATCACATAAGCTGTTATAAATCATTTTCGCAGTTTGAAGTCTCATGTTCAGCGCTTGATCAGCAAAATACAATTTCAGAGGTTCGCAATGTTCTATAATTCGTTTCACCACTGCGCTCAACGATAACCAACGTGATTGACTTGGATGTATCATTTTGGTGATATCTAAAACAACAAAAGCTTGGAATTGCCTGAGTTGTGCTTGACGTTTACTGCTACAGCCAAAGTAATTAAAAATCAGTCGGCAAAGATCTTCACAAATGCGAGGTAGTACTTTGCATGCACTAGAAGAACATAAGTGAAGGGAATGACAAATGCACTTAAGTATCATTATACCAGGACATAGCGTCCGCATTCTTGTTGAAACTGAATTGTTGCATCCCATCATAACATTGCAACCGTCACTTGCAAATCTTACAATGTTTTCTGATGGAATATATTTTGTATTAAAAGTGGAAATCAGTTGATCGTATAAAACTTGAGCAGTTGCTCCGGACTCTGCAACTTCATAATCTTCGTCAGTAAAGATTTGCTTTAGTTCCAAGTGCCTTGTGTAAACACGACCAACTTCTGAATCAAAAAATCTGACCATCACACATGATGTCTTCATTGCCGATATGTCTGTTGACTCATCTGTCAAAATTGAAAACTTAACTTCTTTTAATCTATCACTAAGAGACTCATTTTCAGTGTCTCCTATAGCATTTAAAATAATGGCTTTAACTTTGGTCCTCTTTAAACTCATGGAAGCAGCTATTTTTGAATCGGGAAATATATCCTTTAAAACTTTCATCAAATGATCCATTTTTAGGAAAGCCTCATCGTGAGCTGCCACATATCCAGCCAGTAACCGTTCGGGATAACTGAATCGACAGAAAACTTCACCTTCGAGTGTTTTTATTTCGCGGGGCGAGTCGGAATGTCTTAAGGGAAAGGCCTCTACCCATCGTGTGAAAAGGTCGGTGACTAAGATGAAACGGTTTCCGTTAGTAGTGAGTGGATACGGGCCCATCAGATCCAAAGCCACTGTTTCCCATGATTTGCGTGTGAGATGTGGTCGAAGCCCGGCCTTGAATTGACCTCGGACTGGTTTGCAAAATATACAAAGATGACATCCGGCGACATACAGGCGGATTTCACGGTTCATACCGGGCCAACAAAAATGACGTCTCACATCTCGAATGGTTTCATCGGAGCCGGGGTAACCGGAGAGTGGTGCGTCGTGGTATTCCCATAGGACTTGTTGGCGCATCGATTGTGGCACGCACAATCGACACTGATTTAGGAAATCACGTTTCCAAAAACCTTCTTCTTTGAAACGGCTCATGTCACGGAATTTCTCGTCGTCCGGGGATCTGGGACCTTCTCGGAGTATACACTTCCATCGGGCGACGTCGCGTGATATTGAGTTGTCCTCTTGTTGAGCGGCTACAACTTCTTCGAAGATGTTCGACCGGTAAAGTGCGCTGATAGTGGGGATCAGATGTTCCTCTTTTATAATAACGGATGGTAATTCTGGGACAAACATACGATCCAAGTCGGGTTCTACGGGAAGCTTTCATTAGAAACGGGATTCCGTGATAAGTTGTCCGCTAATTCGTTTTCCTTTCCGAGGATATGCTCGATGATGAACGAAAATTCGCTCAGAAAGAAGTGCCATCTTGTCAATTTGTCGCGAGTGTCTTTTTGTGAGTTTAATCACATCAATGTTCGGTTATCTGTTCGTAAGGGGCCATTCATAAATTACGTAACGCTTTTAAGAGCTCAGGATCCTCCCCCCTATGTAACAAATCGTAACACGTCATCGAAACCCCTCCCCTCCCCCCTGTCATTTTACGTAATTCTGTTTTATATAATATTAAATAAATTAAAAGTTTATTACACACAATATTTATTTGTATGAATATTTTTTTTAATTTCTTTAAATATTTTTTACATTTTAAACATAAATTTTTTGTTTCTCTTTAAATATAATTTTTACTACAGGACGTCTGAATCCAATCTTCTATTGAAGAAATAATTGGAATTTGGTTCTCTTTGGCAGCTGTGATTTTATCATCAATTTCCTCAGCCTCAAAGTTCTCTTCGAGATTTTCTATATCCACCCATTCAATTTCTTCGCTAAAAGGTAAATCTATGTGACACAAAAATTTTTTTTCGCTACGTGCAACTATATGCCTTGGTCGATACTATTATATGTGATTATTATTATTATATTGTTATTATATCTGATACTATTATATTTCCATCATCGTCAACAATAAATTGAAATGTTTCATCCATATTTTTATGTTTCAAGTAAAAGTAATAAATTTATCTACGCACAATTTTTAACGCAGTTTCGCGAGTTTTTTTCGAGAGTGATGTGCAATAAAGATCTATCTTTTAAAGGAGAGAGAAATAATATTCTACTTATTTTCTTCACTTAAGGTCTTTTTCAATGGAATCTTAAAGGAATCTTAAAGGCCCAAGTACAACTGCTTCGTGAACGGCTATCGCAAACGTTAAGCGTGAGCCAGAAAAGGACAGAAATAATAGCGTATTAACGACCAACGTGTTTCTGACGTCACTACACCAATGCAACCAACGCATGCTCTTTGCATCTAATTGGAGACTGGCCTTTAAAATCGTATTGCAAAAACATCATTATTCGTGGCACGCGAATTGGATTTGTTATTAAGCGAATATTTACTTTTTCCTTAAAATTTTTTTCTGTTTTTACGTAAATTTCAAGTTATAATTCATTCTGATTTGTGATATTAATGTAAATACTACACGTCAATTTTGTTCAGCGGACAGAATGTCAGATGGTATATAAATACTTTTATAAATAAACGTGAATTATTACATGTCAGTTTTAGATTTGTTTTCGTTCTAAGTAAAACAATATTTTTAATAAATAATTATTATTATTTTACAAAAAGACAGTGACGATGACAGGAATGTAGCAATGGTTGTTCTTTCTGCTATTATGATTTTTGATGAGGATGAGCAGGAGTAGGAAAGCATTGCGGAAACTTTCTTGTCATTTACAGAAAAAGAAGAGCATATAAAATCTGAATTCTTTTTCGAATTAATAATACCAAGGTTTTCACCATCAGGTAAATAAGGAATTTGATTATTATATTTTTCTTAAACTTATTTACAGTACTATATTTAAAAAGTCATGTTTTTAATTAAAAAAAATTATTTGAAGAAAGAGCTGAACATTTATCGAAAACATGAGTTTCCTTATTAATTTTTATTTTTCTTCATGTACGTAAAGAGGAAAAAAAGAAATTTGTTTAAAATTATGAAATATTTTTTATAGAATTGATAATGCTAACATTTCTATTCAACTACTTCATTGTTTCTTAAATATAATCTCAAATTATTTAAAAAGCACATTATGTTTTTAGTTATTTTTACTTATAAATTATGTAAAGGATATTGAAAGATATTGAAAACCTAATGTAAAGTTGCATTTTCTATTACAATTGGTTAATAGATTTTATACTTTCGAAGATTTTATATTATTTGTTGAAAATATAAAATAACAATTTATTATTGAACAAAAATTTTAACAGTAATTGAAAATTTGGACAATTAAACAAAAATAAAAAAATACGTATCTGTTTTTTTTCGATACAGAATAGAAAAAAAATATTTTTGGCCGATTTTAAGAGGTCGACTAAAATCTCTAAATCTCTGCCCATAGGCAGCATAAATATGATATTTGTAAATCTTAATATCCATCTATGTTCAATCGATTAAATATTTTTTTTCCTATAATATGTTGTATGTTTTTAAAAAAAGATTTTAAATCCCACTTTCGAATGACGAGGGAAACATTCGAAACATTAAGTCTAATTTTGGGATCTGATTTGGATACCCCACAAGTAAATGTTCCCGTCGTGAAAAAATTAGCCATCGCCATTTGGACATTTAGCAATCAGGAGGTATATCGGTAAGTATTGTCAAATATATTAACTACTTCGTTAGTATGACACAAATTAAAAATAATATATGCTTTGTATAATAAGTAGTGTAAAAATAACGAATGGAACAATTTTTTTATTTTGGTATTTTGTTAAATTTAAAGCTGATGGACAATTTTTTCAAAAAAATTTGTTATGTTCTCCAAGAAAAATGAAATTTCAATAAATTTGAATAAAGTTTGCTGTCTTTTTCTCAAACTTCAAGCATAAAAAATACACCAGAAACAACGAAAAAATTATATTTTAGTTAATTCGTAACGGGTTGAATGTATTTTTTTGAAAATTTGCTTTTAAAAATACATCAGAAAACCCTTTTCTTAATTGACAAGGTCCTCAAGCAGGTGACCACTTTCTTTTAAAATTTTTCTGCATAAAATATATATTCGCGGTAAAAGCCGCGAATATATAGGTATGCTTGAAATATCAACTGTTTATCAATCAAATGTAATAACTCGAGTAAATCTTAACCGATTTTGCTCAATTTTTTTTGCTGGATAAAGAATGATAAAAGACAGAATTCTGATAAGTTTATTCAATATTTTGGATACTTTTATAAAATGTAAGCAAAGAAAACTGAAAAATAGCGACTTTTAGAGATTTACACAAAAGTAGAGATTAAAGTTCTAAATGGATTTATAAAATATTCTGAAATTTTATTAATTGGTTAATTTAAAATCTCGATATTTATTTCAGGAAATTTTAATACATTTCGTATTCTTTGAAATATTTGGATTTTTCTCAAAAAAATTAAATTTTTTAAATTTTACCAAACGAAGAGACTTTAGTCTCTTTTAACAAGTTATTTACTATTTAATAAGTTATTTATTTATTTTATTTATTTATTTATTTAAATAGTTTTAACAAGTTTAGTCTCTTTTATTTAAACTACTTAACGGATTTATCAAAAACTCTGGAGTACAATTTAATTTTTTCAAAAAAATTGAAAAAGAAAAAAAAAAATTCTAAACACTTTCCCTTTTAATATTATTTCATGCATTTAATAAAAATTTGAAATGTCGCAAAATGTTTTAAAATCCCAACAAAAACATCTTTGGTGCGAAAACTTCCGCCAAGTAAAAGTTTTTGTAATTGTCCAAACAATTACTAAAATAAAAGTTTTATAAAAATTAATTCTTATATTTCAATTATTATTATTTCTATGAGGAAGCAAAGTGTTCATCCAGTAAACACCAAAATTATAAAAATGTACAACTTGGCAGCGGTTTTTTTCTTAAAATTTACTCGATAAAATACACTAATAACATTTCTTAATTTCTAAGGTCTAATATTGAATGTTTAAAACTAAAGAATCACCATTTTTTCATATTATGAATCTATCACTTACTTACTCAATCAATCATATCTTCAATTCTTTTCAATTATAATAAACAATCAATTTATAAAAATACATTTTTATTATAGATCCATAGCTGATCGGTTTGGCGTAGCAAAGTCAACAGCTTGGCAATGTATGTTAGACGTCGCGACTGCACTTTGTGCACGCTCAAAAGAGTACATTCAATGGCCTAGGGAAGAAGTTGCATTAGAAAATGAATATAAATTTCGACAAATATGTGGATTTCCTGGCATCATTGGAGTTGTGGACGGATGCTATATCCAAATTAGTGCTCCTTCTGAAAATCCTGAAAGTTATGTCAACAGGCATGGGTACTACTCTATCAACTTTCAAGGAATATGCGATGCTGAAATGCGTTTCATAGATGTTTTCGCGGGTTGCTGCGGAAGCATGAATGATGCAAGAGTCTGGCAACTTAGTGACATTCATCAAGAAAGTGTTCTTCATAGTGATGATTATTTTCCTAACCAATGTCATATACTGGGAGATAAGGCTTATAAACTAAACTTTAATATGTTGACACCATATAAAAATTTTGGAAATATGCCGAGAGTGCAAGTCTTCTATAATCTTCTTCACGCCCGAACACGTCAAATCATTGAAAGAGCCTTCGCACTCCTTGTTTGTCGTTTTCGACGTTTAAAATACTTATATTTGCAAAATGTACTCTACGCTTCTTTAATAATTCTCACATGCTGCATTCTTCACAATATTTGTATTTCATTCAATGATATAATTGAGGATTATGAAATAGTACATGATAACGATAATTGTGAAGTACAGTTCGACAATGATGATTCAATTGTAGAAGTACCGCAAAGAAATGAAAATCGCTTTCATCCTGAAATAAAGCGCAATATTGTGGATAATGAATTGTTTGCTAATCAAAGAATATAATTTATTTAACAGGGATAGATAAAAATCTAAATTACTAAACTCAGTTTGGTTTTGTGTCGACTTGAAACTAAATAAATATATTTCTAAAACTAAATTAAAAAAAGAAAGATTTAAAAATGAAAATCGAATTGTTTTAGTGTAGATCAAAAATAAATGTCTAAGAAAATCAATTATTCACTCTTAATAAAAAAATCACTGCAAACAACAAAATATTTAAAGAAGTAGTATAATAACATTAACAATAGCTATAAAGTAGAATAAAAAGACTACAATAATAAAGTTGAGTTAGTAAACCTGATTTTCATGTATCTGTAAATATTTCGTTTTTTATAATAATTTTTATTAATAATACTAAATATTATAAGTTTTAATATTTTAGTTTCGAGTCGACACGAAACAAAATTCATTTTTTTAATTTTGTTTCGTTTGAGTATCTGTCCCTGCTATATAATTTAAATTTTCATATAATCCAAACATCACAAATCAAAATAAAGTCATCACTACAGAGTGAGAGAAAGAAAAAATGCATAATATCCTAATGTTCATTGAAGATTTTGCAACCTGACAGTAAGCTTGAGAAACTTACAAGACATACTTGCTGTTAATGTGCTACATGCACGGAAAGTTGCGAAGTTGTGAAGACAGTGTTCTATTTGCAAAATGACTGTACTGTAAGTTTCTTAAAAATTTAAGTTACTTGAGTGATTTTTCAACTGCAATATCAAGTTCAACGATATTAAATAGACTTTTACTAATTCAACCACAATATTTATTGTCAATTTATTTTGTACTTTATGAATTTGTATTTGCGTTTGAAAAAGTTCTTTGAGAATTTTCAAATTCATTTGTGTACACTTCAATTTAATGAATTTAATTTAACTCTGTAAACAGGATATCCTCCGCCATGATAATAAATAGTTCATAAATCAAATATATCTCAGATTTACTAGTGTTCGCTAAAATTTTAAATTAAATATTTACCTTGCAAACTTCTTTTCATTCACTTACATTTTCATTGTCACTGTCACCAGAATGATATGTTCACTTAACATGGCATCCAGTCCCTCATTTATATTTTCTTTCTTTATTTAAAAGGTAATCAATAATTTATATTAAAAATGAACAAAATAAATACAGGGTTGCCACAGGTCAGGGAAATCAGGGAAAAGTCAGGGAAGTCAGAGAAAAGTCAGGGATTTTTACTAAAAGTACTGGAAAATAGTATATTAAGCAACAAGGGTATAAAGGCAGCCATTTGTTTACGGTGATTTTTGTGACAGAAAAAAGTGAAGGTCGAGGGCGCCGTAGGCGCCCCTCGACCTTCACTCGTGTCACAAAAATCATCGTAAACAAATAGGCTGCCTTTATTCTCGTGTTACTTACGATATTTTTTATTCCTAATGCACAAAAGTGGCGATTTCAGATAGCAGACGACAGGGAGAAAAAGTCATTCACTTGTTCGACTTATATGAAAATGGCGGCCTATTTTCTCCCTTGGGCAAAAATAACGCATGGGATCAGCGGTTATGTTTGCACAAGGGAGAAAATGGACGCCATTTTCATATGGTCGAACAAATGAGTGACTTTACTCCCTGTCGTCAGCTATCTAAAAGCGCCATTTTTGTGCATGTGGGATAAAAAATTAAATTTGTAAAATTTATGAAAAAACTCTGAATTTTTTCCTTTTTGCCTCGTAAATTATGAAATTATCTCGAATTTTAATACAAAACCTTCAATTTCTGACAATAATTTCTTTTTAAATAACTTAATTTTCCATAAACTATCATAAAATTATGACTTACAAATTATTTTATAAATAATTTTTACAATTTTCATAAATACTAGATTGATAGAAGAATTTCAGTTAAAAATACTAAAAAAAATCGGATTTTGTAAAAGTTACAAATAATTATAGAAATTCAATTATTTTCAAAAGTTACAAAAATTCTTAGCAGAATTTCAATTATGTTCAAAATTTTTTTAAAAATTCTCGTCAAAATTTCAATTATCTTTATAAATAATAAAATTCTTCATCGAAATTCAATTATTTTTAAAAATTTTAATAAAATGGTTGTCAAAATTCCACAGGAATTCAATTATTCAATATTTAATAAATTTCTTTGAAATAATTCAATTATTTTCATAAGTAATAAAATTTTCACAGGTATTCAATTATTTAAAATACAAAATTTCATAAAATTTTTCGAAAAATATCAATTATATGTATCAAAAGATTTTTATAAAATATTTTTATGAATCCAATTACTTTTATAAATAATAAAATTTTTCACCGAAATTCAATTACTTTTATAAACTTGAATAAAATTCGTTGTAAGAATATCAATTATTTATATAAACTTGAATAAAATTCGTTGGAAGAATTACATTATTTTCAAAATAATAAAATTCTTCGCAGAAATTCAATTATGTTCAAAAATTAAAAAAGAAATATTGTCAAAATTTCAATTATCTTTATAAATAATAAAATTCTTCATCGAAATTCAATTATATTTAAGAATTTTAATAAAATTCTTGTGAAAATTTCGTAGGTATTCAATTATTTAATTTTTAATAAATCAATTCAAAATATTTCCATTATTTTCATAAGTAATAAAATTTTCACAGGAATCCAATTAGTTAAAATACAAAATTTCATAAAATATTTCGAAAATTATTAATTATTTAAAAATATTTTTATAAAATTCGTCGCAAAAATTTAATTATTAAAAAAAATTTAACATAGTTCTTTTTAAGAATTAAATTATTTTTATAAATAATAAAATTCTTCACCGAAATTTAATTATTTTTATAAACTTGAATAAAATTCGTTGTAAAAATTCAATTTTAACAAACATTCAATTATTCAATAAATTATTTACAACATTTTTGTGAATCATTTTTAACTTACATAATATAAAAAAGGTATTTAATTTCAAGACATTATAGAAATTATTCAAGTGAATATTCTTATGAATTCTTGTAAATAATTAATTAATTAATTAGCATTGATTGAAGAATCAATGTTAATTTTCCCGAATTTACCTTTATTTCTCCTTCTCACTTGCTCCAGTTTTAATTTTACCAAGAATTTTAAATTAACCGGAAAAATTCCCACTTTTTAATATAATTATGTATAGCCATTAGACACCATAAATTAAGTAAATTAATATTTTTAATTTTTCTTGAACAAAAATAATTTTTATTGCAATAATTGATTGATTTGTGCATTGTATTTTAACACTACACGAAAACATTTGAATGATCACGAATCACGCTTTTCACAAACTGAAGATAAATCTCAATTCACAACATGTATGCGTTGGCGCATTTTAAAGAAAATTCAGTTGAGCACCACTGAGTGATCCGGATCATGATCCGTGAACATACCGAAAACACCCTCTGTCAACAAACATAAGTATTTTGATTGAGTTTGCTAGTCATATAGCGAACCTTTTTGATATGACAGCAAACTTGTTAGCTATGTTCCTATTTCATCTAACCAATCTTTCTATGCGTGTAAGATTATTTTAAAATTCGAGATACTGTGCAAATTTTTTCTTGAGAGTCGGATTAAGGGGTTAAAGGACAAAATAAAAACTATAATATCATACTGTCCCATAGAAAAAAAATATTTGATTTTTACTTCTAATTAGAACTTTTGATTGATAATTTGATAAAGGTGAAACAAGTTGACAATCTCTCCGAATCAATTTTGATAATTTGGTTAGGTTACCTGAAAAGTTGAAAACAATTTGACATTCTCGATCCGGTGTTTTTTTCGTGGTGTCGCGAAGTAGAGTTAAATGATTTAGAACTCTGAAGTATTTTCAGTGTCTTGTCCAGGAAAACATTACAAAATTTGAAAGTGTAAGATACATGATAGAAATTGCTAAGTTATTGACTCTTCAAAATGTGGATATTGATAGATTAGTATGCAAATGGAGATTACTGCGGGTGGATGAGCAGGTCAAATTTCCTATAAATAAAGAAGAAAGAATCGATTTTAATTAGAATCACATCTTCAGTCTTAAAAATCAGGTAAATAATTCTAAGTATCCAGAAATTAAACGAGTCGTACAGAATGCTCTTGCTTTAACTCACGGAAATGCCGATGTTAAAAGAGGCTTCTCGTTGTCTTCAAGGGTCTTAACAGAAGACAAAAGTAATATGTCCGAAAGAACTTTAAATGCAAAATTATATATCATCGATGCATTGTAATTGTAAATGTGTATGATAAAATAGTATATAAAGTTCCTATAATATCTGGTTTAATTAAACTCGCTCAAGGTTCTTATAAATTTTACCAAAAGTATTTAGAAAAGCAGAAGCTCCTATCTCAACAAGAAGCTGAGAAAAAACGTTTGTAAGAAGTAACAATAACCAACGAGAAAGAACATTTAAAAACTCTCGAAAAAAACATACGAACAATTAAAAAATTAGAGAACGATTTGAAATCTGACTAGGGCCCGGATGCCTTTATGCAGACTATCCCCACTCTATTTATATTATCTCTATGGTTTAGACGCTTGGAATTGATGCGAATAATCTATTGCGTCATCGCGCGACGCGCATACACAGTGCGCAGGCGTCTTAAGAAGCCTTAGCAATTTAAAAATGGTTAAGAGAACCATAGTGTTAAAATCCAAACCAATATTGTAACCTTAACTACAGCTATGGTTGTTACAACAATATCAAACGTACCAATATTATATGGTTGCCACAACCAGTCTGTTTTATAAATGCTTCCATACTAAAAGCTGCTCTAGCCATATGCATATGTATGGATGCCTCAGCAATATTGTGACCAGTAATATTTTTATGGTTGTGACAACAATATCTTTTTCTCCGTGGGCCGTATGTAAGTCAGTATATTTATTGACTGTATTACTACTTCTTACATCTGTGTTGATGATTGGTAAGGCTCCCTAATTCTTCTTTAATTTCTTTTTAGAAATAATGGCATCCAGATTTCGGTCACAACCTAAAAATGTAGTTAAAAAATGTAGGTACTAGAAAAAATTAAAAATTGTATTGCTGTGGTTTTCTGCAATTGATAAAAATCAGTAAGAGAAAATAAATATAAAAATTTATGTGAAACTTTACGAATTAAAGTTCGGCCTGACTTAAGGCATAAGACAAAACATGAAATAAAATATGAGGAATGGGATATAAGACAGAATGTAAGAATTAAGAAATAAAATGAGACTTAAGGGGACTTTTTGGTTTAGAATGGACAAGAAACAAACTGTTTCGCAGCTGTAGGGGGCATCTTAAAAAAAGTATACCTTTTTTCGGAGAGTAACTTTCCAGACAACCAAATTAGTAACACAAAAAAAATTAGTATCACAAACAAAACTGCTGGCATTACGTTTACTCAAAAAACGAGCAATAGCTTATGCGAAATTTTCTCGACAAGGTTGGAACATGATCACCAATGCATGATCACCTCTTTGATTTTTCTGGTGCTCTGGTGTGTGTTCGCCTAAGTCAGTAAATCCTTCAACCTTTATGTTAACTCTGTCAAAAGACACAGTTTCAGACAATTTCATCTTGTCAATTGCTAGAATACCTTTGGAAAATAAATAATTTATTCAACATATAAATTGCAGAATTTATGACAAAGAAACTAAGAATTATAAATTATCTAGATGCAGTTATTTTTTTATTATTATAATTATATTACAATCTTACCTCTTCGATTTTCTAGTGACAAAGCTGATGATTTCATCTTTAGTCCTTTAAATACATAATCA